ATACAACTTCATTGCAGCAGCTTTTGGAGTAAGCTTGCTCAGAAAGGGTCAGCGCAGTTGAACACCACTCACTAGACTAGATGCAAGAAGTGTTGAAGCCTTTATTTAGTAGCAATTAAATTATTCAATTAACACTAACCTCCAGACAGCAGTTAAAATATTGTACAAAGAGCAGCTTGCCCTCTAGAAGCTCTGTACACAGTTCAATATAAACTTACTCTCTAAGATTGAATGCACCCCACTGAAAAGGGGTAAAGCAGCTGTGCACAGGAGGCCTCACTGAGGTGCTGTACTACCTTTGAAATGCACAAGACTTCCTCCCAGGGAGTTCGCACAGTACAGACACAGGTCCTGTCCCCCCCCATCATGTTCCACCAGGTCCTGGACTGATTAGGTTCTTGCCTTTTTGCAGTGGTGCTGGGCACCAGAACATCTAGTGTATGAAACAGATTCTTTTAAAACCTGTTACTAGTGTGCAGTTCAAATCAGTAGATATTTAAATGGCTCTTAATTCCTTAAACCATAAGGTTGGTAGCAAAACAGGAGAGCAAAATTCAGAACACACTGCACAAAACATTGAAGAAATACTTCTGAATAATGTTACCAGCTTAAACAACTGCATTAATGCTCCAGAGACAGGAACACTTCTGGAATCTCTGATCAGAGCTCAGGATTCAAGGGAGTTACTTTAGTAAAAGAAAAGTCACTTTATGAAAAATTACATCTTTACAAAAGTGACACACCTTCTTCATTTAAGAACAGAATATTGCAATCATTGTGTGTGCTTTTAAACATTCCCATGTCACAATAAATAAAACCAGTTTTACTTGTGCCAATGTTACCTACCAAAGAAAGTATTCACAGAACAGCCAAAGGTGTTCTATTCCTCATACACCACAACCTAATATAGGTGTATTCTGCAAACAGGGCAGCTCAAAACCATGGCAACTGACTTTGTCCACACAGGACCCACCATCAGCCAGAAAAATTATTCCCCTAGCTCTGGGACTGCAGATCATGTACCACCAGGTTTACTGTGGAGATGCTTAATATTCTGTTTGATAACATCAGTTTTTTCAGGAGATAAGTAAAACAAAGGAAAATATTAAAACAGGTTAAGACTTATTTGTATCAGTCACAGGCTCCTTATTGCATTTTAATAAATATCAGGCAAGTTAAAGTAGTTTCTGTCCCAGTAGTTGCCAGAATAAAGCCAGTCCTGTGTACCAGTATAGGGATTGGAGCCTTGGTGGAACCATCTGCAAGGAAACACACAACATGTTAGTGAAGCTATTAACACACACTTTTATAGACGTTCAAAACTGCTTTACTGCATCTTCAGCAGTTTATTGTTTAAAGTAATTATTGTGATTGCGGGAGCCACCTTGGTTTTAAATTCATAAGTGAATTTAAAGCAATCTTCAGTGGCTAGAGCTCCCCATTCACCACACTGCTTAAACATCTCCTAGGTAAAATTACTGACACCAGTGTTTTGTCACTGGAAGCGGTCAAGACTATCGCATAAAAAGGGACAGGTACAGTTTTACTTCAAAGCAGTTGTGAACAATTGTTTTGGCATGCATAAGCAGTAACAGTTTTTGCAAGACATGTCAACACCACAAGCACTGCAGTCCTGAAAACAGAAAAACATTATTTCCCCATGATCTAGATTTCCCCTTGCTTTTGTTTTGCAATGCACTTAACTCAAAATAAGTGTGCCAGCTACCCTCAGTGTAAATAAATTATCACCCACAGGCTGCAGGAGAAGTCCTGGTTTATTACAATTTAACTGTGTTGCACTACACTGCTAGCACTGGGAGGCTACACTGAATGCCCAGAAAACTCATTCCACCTGCATGGAGTTACTTGCAAGCTTTTACTAAGCTGGTTGTTGGTAGAAACCTGAAGTTTAGCACCTTCTTTCTTTCCTTCCCTCTCCCCTCCTACCTAATCTGGAGGCCCTGTGTATACACATGCACAGATTACATCTGCATGTGTATATAACCTTGGGGGGGGCGGGGGGCACGTATCTAGCTGTAAAATAAGGTGTGCTTACAAGGCCATACTACTGGCAAGTATCCCCCAGTGGCGAGTATAACCCTCTCACATCACCATGGCACGGAAGTTAGTCCTTCCTCATCTTCTCCCACACCGTTCCTGGCAATCCCGCGGTACGTTACTGAACACTGCTTTCTGTCTGGGCCTCAACAGCACACTGCACAGTACCAGATCTCTAGCATTTTAGCTTCTTGTATTTTGCCCAGCCATGTTTATGGCACAAGTCAGCTCTCTGGAAGCTGCTTCTGTGGTTAATACGCTCCACAGCTTCCTTTCACCTCTTCACAGGCCACAAAAGCCAGTTCTTGCTTTAGATGCCTCACTGCAGCAAACACACGCAAGTAAATAATGCATGTGCAAGGCAGCTCATTTTAACTCAGCTCTTCCCTTCTATGGTACCGTAAGGTTTCAGAACAGAAATTAAATCACATTGGACCAAATATGACAACCTCTTTAAAAAGCAAAAGCATAAAGGCCACCAGTATTGCAGTGTTACAAAGCAGGGCAGCCAATAGGCAAGCCTTGCTGGGCTCAAAAGATTCAAGATGCATATCGGAAGAAATGCCTTGTACTGTCTTCATGGCAGTAAGTTGAACACTTCAGTGGTTCTCCTTCTGTCCTGGTTAAGTGAACTGAAGTCAACAGAAGACAGAAGTCATTCAACCCTTGTACTGCACGTGGTTCACTACTGCATCACCTCCACACAGGATGAGTCGGCTTTTCCAAAGTAACTGGTGCATGTGTGCGCACATCTGTCTAGTTCACCTCCTAGTTCACAGGTAATAGCAGCTCATTCCAGAGCACAAAGAGAGGCAGGGCTATAAGCACAGTCACCTCATCTCTCACATAAAAGAATTCTACCATCCAATGCCTCACTAGTGTGTCTTACAACACTTGTACAGGTCAGGCCAATGTGCTCCTCCCTCCAGTGACCACATACCTCAATAGGAAGGGGAAAGGAGGTGGGAAGAACTATGTTTGAGACATAGGAGACTCAAAGCAATCAGATAATCTAGTGATGGGGGAATGAGGGACTGATTTTCATCAAAAGCAACAGACCACTGCTGTGTTTCAGAACTGAGCTAGTCTTGTACTCAAGACTTGAGACTACTGGTCAGTCTCTAAAGCATTAAGTGTTCAACATGAATCATTTCTTCAGGAACACCAAGACCCCACTTCTAAAGTGGATTCAAAATAATTTTTAAAAAAAAAATCACTAGGCACTTTAGAGAATCGTCTGTGAGGGAGGAACTCTACTAGACAAAGGAGCCTGCTTTTCTGTGGCGAAAAAATGGCAGTAGTTTGCATCAGAGTTTAATGTTCCACTGCAGATTGAGACCTACAGTTGACCTTCTGGGAACAGGTATGCATTTTTTTTCTACCCCAAAGCACAACTCTTCCACAACACTTTATAGTCATCCTTTAGAGGCTGTCACACTTGGCATTCCTACTAAAGAGATCAGACACTACGAAATTTCTGCCAAAGCTTTAGAATTACCCTGGAAAACAAAGAGTTCTTAAATGATAGCCCAGGCAAGTGCTGAGCAGGTCTACACAGCAACTGAAGAATCTTGTGAATGGTGTCTGCACTCATTATGCACCCCCAAAAACCACTGCTCTGAGTTGCCCCCTGGGAATTCCCCAATTTCTAATACTGACCTCAGGTGCTTTGAGCTCTACCTTCAGGCACCTTGAATAATACTATCCCTTGCTTTGAAAGTATTTGGTGAGAGCTAGAACCACTCTGAACTCAGGAAAGGAACAGGGAGGTGCAAGGCTGTCCAGCACTTAACATGTTTACTTGGAAGCATTACAAATATGTTATTTTCCACCAGTCTCAGGGCAAACCAACCAAACACTTTAGGAGAGCAGGCACAGGAAAAAAGACAAAGTCAGACATGTGCAAACCTGGGACTCTGGGATGATGGGTGACTTCATTGGAAAAAAAGAAAAAAGTGATCTATAGTTACAAACAGACATTTTAAACATATTTAATCCACAGTGTCTGGGTGTATTAATAGCTAGTTAACAGGAAAGAGATTAAGCTTGCTTACTTTTAGAGAGTTTAGCCCTACCATTTTTTTTTTTCCTGTGAAGAGACTGCCAACTTATTACTATACTTTTAAATAGACCTTGTCTGGTCAAACTAGATTCATTTGGTCATGTTTTCATGGTTTCTACTTAGCTCATGTCTAAGAGCTCCCAACTGACCCCTCTCATAGTAAAGAAAACACTCAACATTCTGGCAGATCCCTTGTAAGCTACTTTTTCCATTAGCTCTTCTAACTTTCATAGTTAGTAAATCTCTCAGAAGGGAGGCAAATGACTTTGGTATCTGGGTGGTAAAGTCATTTCATCAACTTTGAGAATAACTGTACACAGTGGGAATACAGTGTTGTCAGCACACAGCAATTGATCTGAGATCTCATGGGCAATAAGCTATCAAGTTCACCAGAGGAAGTATTTCCTCCTCCCTTTGGCCAAGCATGCAAGTTTGAGGCAATTATAAATTAATCAGCAACAACAGTCCTTACAAGCAGTTGTCAGCGGCAACATCTTTTTCATGTCCGAACCAAGAGGTGCTCAGAAAAGACAGCACAGTTTGCATTTGAACATGGGTGTGCAAGCAGTGAGAGGGAAGGAACTGAGAGCAAGCCTGACACTTCTCTCTAGAAGCACTACAGCCTGCAGGGACCAAATCTGCAAGTACAATAGTGGCACTACCAAACCTGATGTCAGCTCTTCATGCTGACAGAACACTGCACATCACCAGCATGGACTGGCAGTTAACCTGAATGTTCAAAACCTTTGTATAACTACACATAGAGGCAAGCACACTAACCTTGTCTTCCAGTCTTCCTCTGACTTTGAACGATTTTTGCGGGCAGTCCTTTGTTTTTCTTCTAGCCTCTTCTTTTCTTCACTAGCTAGATCTTGAAAAAAATAAAAATACACAAATAAAAATACAGAAGGCATTGAAGTATAATATAAGAGAGGGACATTACTCCATCTGACCCAGCAAATAAACAAGGGAAGTAGTAAAAGTTGTCCATTTAAAAAGCCTTCTACAAAACACAGAAGAACTTCTGGTTTAGTCTAAGAGCAAAGCCAGGCCAGCTGTGGCATAAGATTAGCCAATGGAATTCCAGTCTTTCAGACTGTTAAATCTGTTTATCCATGGCCTGAGGACCCTGAAAACGTGTTTACGTGACAGCAAATGTGAGCTAGGGGAGGTGGCATACCTAGAATTTATTTCAGTAGGGAAACTGATTAAGATATGCTGGATGTATTTCAGAAGTCTGGCCACCTGCTTCTTGTTAAAGTTTGGTTTAAGTTGTTACTAGTGCCTATTTCCTGAACAACAGGGGTTTTGAACATTAATTTCCAAACCACAAAGAATTGCCTCTCTGTAGCATCCCTTCATTTTTTTTTTAATGCACTAAGGTGGCACAGGTCATGGTCCTAAATGAGCAGAACAGTTGCTTCTATTTGGCAGAAAGGATGATCAGAAGGTCTGAGGAGTAAATCAGACTAAGAAACAGATTAGGTGAAGGGCGATCTCTTTCATACCTGAATCCTCAAAAAACATTTCATAAACATCTTTGAAAGAAGGAGTTGAGAGAGTAATTTTTGGAAGACTATCAGCCATTCCCAGTTATCCTGCCAGCTACTAACACACTGCATATTACCAGTCTATCTGCTAGAGAAACTTTATGCTGTTAGTATAGTTAAGAAATATGGTCTGTTGCTAACAGCACAGTTATTTGCACTTCAAGTTTACACAGACAAATTAATGGGGATGCTCTGTATCAAGTCCATTCTGCTGGCCACAAAAGAATCGTACAGGCAGGATAGACTGGTTGTGGGAATTCACTGATCTGCTTTTCTAAAAGCCTCAATGAAGTGGTTATCGGCTTCTGAGAAACAAAAATCTGCACAAGTACAACTGCACTGTATTATGCCAGTGTCACTGTTTTTCATGCCTACAGCTCGGAGTATTTATCAGAATTAGTCAGTCATTGCCCTCTTACATAGGTGAAACTGAATCAGAGGTTTAATGACCTACTCCAATCATTTAGCAATCAAGAGAAAGCAAGGGCCCCCATGCTTTTTAGTCTACAAAGCTGGCCATCCTGCTTTAATATGCAAAATGCCAAAGAAAAAGGAGAAAAAAGGGCCAGGGGAAGACTGTTCAACACCAAAAATATCAAAGTATTTAACACCAAGTCACATGTCAGAAGACTAAAAGACGCTTTCCACTCTACGGCATCTACAGTAACAATCTCTAATAGGTTTCTAAAAACACACTATTTCTACTTACTGAAAGTCTCAGAATGTATTTTCTCATTCACTATTCTAGGATAACAGAAGTGTTCAACTTCCCCTGAAGAATAATTTTGCATGAAGTGTATTCTTTTGGCATTGCAGTTTCATCTAAATAGTTTAGACTGCATTTCTCAGAATTGGCACATCAGAATACTCCTTTTGCATCAGGCTGATGGAAACAGAAAACTGAAAAGTTCTCAAATACTTCCCTTCAATGCTCAGAGACTCTCTCCTTAGACTAGTTTCCAATTCTAGGGCTTGACTATGGAGCACAGCAGAGGGCCCAAAGCTAAATAAAAAGCACAGCTTCGTGAGATTTAAGATTTGCTTATATGGAAGAACATAAGCAAGTAGGTGGTGTGGCGGGGTCCTGGCCCAAAAAAAAAAAGCCACTTGTTGACTCCCATCCACCCCAGTGGGTTAAGGGAGAGAATCAAAGAGCAAAAAACACTCATGTGTCAAGGTAAAGACAGTTTAATAGAAGAAGGGAAAGAAAACAAAGGAGGAAAAAGTGACGCAAAGGCAATCACTTACTACCTTCCACCAGCAGACCTGTATCCAGCCAGTCTCCAAGCAACAGCTACTTCTGCCACTTGTTGACTCCCATCCACCCCAGTGGGTTAAGGGAGAGAATCAAAGAGCAAAAAACACTCATGTGTCAAGGTAAAGACAGTTTAATAGAAGAAGGGAAAGAAAACAAAGGAGGAAAAAGTGACGCAAAGGCAATCACTTACTACCTTCCACCAGCAGACCTGTATCCAGCCAGTCTCCAAGCAACAGCTACTTCTGCCCACACACACAAATTACTGCTGAGCATGATGTTATATGGTATGGAATATCTCTGGTCAGTTTGGGTCAGCTGTCCTGGCCATGTCCTCTCCCAGCCTCTTGCCAACCCCAGAAACAGAGAAGGCACTGGGCAATATTTACCATAAAAGCATATAACAACCACCCATATAACATATATGTGTTATCAACACTGCTTTGGTCACCAATCATACACAGCACCATATATGGGCTGCTATGAAGAAAATTCACTCCATCCTGAGCAGCCCCAGGACATGGTGGGTGACATACCTTTCACTAGAAGCATAGCACAACCTGCAAAAAGCTGTATTAAGGAGTTACTGTCCTGCAGCAGGGAGGAATGTATCTTTATGGTAGCTACTTACTCTAACAACTTGAATGTGGAATTTACTTTTTTCCAGTCCCTCAGTTTTAACAAAAAATAAAAACACCTTTGCCAATAACTGAAGTTACCTATTTCTCCATTTTCCATGGCTCTGATATCTGGTCGTAGCCGGCAATCAGTTTTGGGAATGACACTCTCCATTTCTTTGTCCAACTCATTCAAAGCCATAGCAAAGCTAGTAAAATTATACATCTGAAATTCAGAGACAAAGATAAAAGGTGACTTTATGATGTCTCCAGCTGCTAGTCTTAATACACAAGAAAGCTGCTGTCTAAAAGCAAACATCCAAGTGGCTTTTTCATTATTTAATCACTCAAGATAGGAATACTCAAGATAACAGCAAAACTGCACTGTCAGGCAGAGTGTTTAAGCAGGCCAGCTTAAATTACTCAGTGCACTATTTCCCTCTTACCTTCTTTTTCCAGTCCTACTGGTATTATCCCTATCTCTGTAGAGATATTTCCCCCTTGATTAACTCACTGAGGGCACCCTTTCTTGTTCCAATTCTTTGTCTTTCCAGTTGCAGGCATACCCTTGTATTCCGCCGCTGACTCTCCAGCTCCACAGCCCTTTCCGCACCAGCTCGTGCTACGCAGGCTTTGCAAGCATCTCCTAGGAAAGGTCTGTCCTCTAATAAAGCCCTTAAGAAGAGACTTCTCACAAGGTGGGTGCCTCAGTGCGGGGAGCAGGCTGGAGAGAAGAGGTGGGGAAAGCCCCTATACCGCTAGCTACATGAAACATCCCATTTTCCAGTGAAATTCTGCTAACTCTGAAGTCATGCCCGTGGCAGTTATCCCTCCAGCCTCAGATTATAGGGTTACAGTTGTAGTGGGAAAGTTTTTTGCAATAAACAGGCAAATCCAGACTTGTTAATTAAAAAGACAACAAAAGGGTTTGCTTTGTGTTGAACATACAGAATAACAGGATAGCACACGCTTTCAATAAGCGGAACCACAGCTGACCTGTGCTGAATTTGGAGGTCTTGGAGTTATCTTCCATAGCAAAATACTTCCAGGAATAACATACACGCTTTCAGAATCTGGCAACGGCATCTCATCTGGTTCCTCAGTATTGCCCACCTAAAGGCAGTACACAAAGAAAAGAGACATTCTTTGGAGTCATAAACCATTTACACACATGCATTCCAACCCTGGAACTTTACATAAAATTATTTCCTTGACCAAAAGTAAATAATTTCAGCAACAAAGAAACTTTTCTAGACGCTTGTCAAGAAGGATAACAGCATTAACATAGCATACGTATTCCCAATTCCCTCCCAATGGAAGACTGCCAACAGTTTCTTGCATCAACATCTTCACAGATATAATCTGTGTGTTCAAGCATTAAGAAATGTCAATTTTTCCACCACAGAGATGTCCTGTTTCCTCAAACACAAACAATTCCATGTCTGATATTTAACTCCATTACTGCTTCATTGAAGTTGAAGAACAGAAGTCACATTCCTTATCCTTCCACATCAGCAGAATGCCAGCACATAATGCAAATGCTGTCCTCAGTCTATGCGCAACAGAAAGTCCTATGCTACTGCTGTCTTGCTCAGAGGAACCTTCCTTTCCATTGACCACTACACTACTGAAATGGCAAACTGCAAACGTTAAATGAATATCCTAGATTAGCTGCTACTTGTGGGAAGGGTATCCTATTCAGGCTGACATATATGGCCTGAGGCAGCTGCAGCCACAGCACTGTGAAACGGTTTTCCCAGAAAGGGAAAAAATCCACGCAGGGTTATTAGAGCAGTAGAGAATAACTGATGGCCACAGTGTAGATGCGACCTGAACTACTTCTAAACCATCACCCTTTTTATGTACAGCTTTAAAGCAGCTGGGGTCCAATGCCGCTGACATTAACTCCACCACAGGAGCGTATGTTACAATACTGAACTAAAGTCATTTAGACAACGAATACAGCTCTCCCCAAAAAACTTGGGTGTCGCTACAACAGCTAAAAACAGCAGCACGTTTCAGAGATGACTGGAGAGTAACGCTGAACTTAAAGGCAACTAATGCTTTAAGTACTTTGGCTACATGCCAACAGCTTTAATCCTGCTGCTAATAAGCTTTGCTCTCTGATGGTTGCATCAGATAACACATAGACTGATGTTTTAGTAAAAAAAAAAAAATAATCCAGTACCCAAACTCGACTCTGTTGTCCTCTGAGATGATCCATGTGTTATGCCACCACCAAAAAAATTAGGAAGCATTAAGGATTCTGCTTCACTGTGGAGCACCTGGGTACAGTGCTTTTATTAATGAACAGGTTGCAAAGTAACCAGAACAACATGCAGACCAGGTTCAGTCCCTCAGCTATGAGGAAGATAAACAGGGCTTTTAGTTGACTACATCTGAACCGTGCTGGCAACCTGCCATTCTGTCCTTTAAAGGACACTGATCAATCTTTCAGGAACGCTGAATTTGAAGCAGAACAGATCAGAAAAATTTCCTTATATCAAGACAAAGACACTTCAACACCAGACTGTCAAATTCCAAACCAACTTTTACAGAAAGGCTATAATACAGACTGCAATTTGTGCCTTGCTGGATACATAATCTTAAAAATGCCTTAAGAATTACAAAGAACTAAGTAAAAAGTGGATTTTCATGTGCTCTTGCCACAATGATGCATATTTTATGCTCAGTGCTACTCAATCTCTCAGTATATTGCTAGGAGGGTAGTAATAGACTTTGCCAAAGCAAGACCTCTGTGTCTGTAAACAGGGCACATATGAGGGCAGTTGCTGTTGCCTTGTATTATGCTCTTCCATATATTTGTACTGAAAATTCTGCACAAAATGCTTCATCTTGATTTAAAAAAGGTTCTAGTTAATTCAGGGCAGAACTATCCCGGTCTAACCCCAGGTCTACTATAACTCTTCTGATGTTGGTAAAATATCACCTTTGTATACATGAAGGCTTGTCTAGCTCCCCGCAAAATTATTTTTCCTTAAGTTTTAGCCCTATAAAAATCAAAGGGATTCCGGGAAAAATCTGGGCCAATTTGCAAAAGGACTTGGAGCCATGCAGATGCCCTAAAAGGGAGACAGAAGCGATTCTTCATTAGTAGCAATGCAGCACAAAGGAATAGTTGGAAAACAACTAAATAAATCTGAGAATTCTAATTAGGAGAAGTTTGAAAGGCCATATACTCTCATGCCTGAATGAATTCTTCACTACCATGAAGGGACAAACCACATCCAGACATTATACATGAGACTTGGCTCACCTAGATGCTCAAAAAACATAAACAGTATCAACTCCTCAAACACAAGGGGGCAGTGGGAATACTATATTCAAAGACTACCCGATTCATAGTGGGCATTAGCTTTCAGTTTTATACACAGATATAGTTCTGTTAAATGAGTAGAAAAAGCGCTCTTTTCTAGAGTCAGAGCAACAGTGAAGCTTGAGCTTTATGCAACAGGATGCTTCATTTTGAAGCGAAAAGCGAGGATCATCTTAAGCATTGTTGGAAAATGCAAAGTGACAGCTGAACAAAGGCACAGGGTGATGTTTTCCTTTGCTCCTTCTCCCTAGAGCTCACAGCCTCAGACTAGAAAAGAAGCAGTAATCCCCAGTGCTTTAGCACTCTCCTGATGACAACCAATCTCAGACACAGCAACAATCTGAACCTGCACAGGAGTAACTGTTTTCAGAATTCTCCATCTCCTTTTCCTTAAGTATAAAAACTAACACCACCCAAACCAACAAAAAAAATCTGAGTTCAGTCACCAAAAGGAAACAATCCCTGTTTTAAGCTACTATGTGAGTGGTTTTTCTGCATCAAGCTGTATGTTGTCACCATCACCATTCGCCTTAAACAAAAAGCATACTGCTGATCAGAAACCTGGAAGAATTAAGAATGAGGGTTTTTTCCAGAAGAGAAAAAAATATTGCAATGGGGGAGAAAGGAAGCGTTTCTATGGTTGTGAAAATTTAATAGCAAGCAATACAAAAATTCCTTGTAAAAGCTGGAAAATACAACATTCTATCAAGAGGAGAAACCAGTCTACACTGCCTCTAGGAGTCCAAATCCTCCTATTAAAATATAAATGTCATCATACATGATCAGAACCATGGTCCAACTAATGGATATGCCATTTCCTCCATGTGACTTGGGAGGAAGAGGCAGGTAACAAACCAGCCAATATTTAGATTACTCCAAATTTTAGGAAGTTTGAATACGAATCCTTGAGAGAGCAAGCATTTTATCCCTTACTGCTGGTACTCATCCAATCAGTTTTGTATCCTACTAGGAAAAAGAGAGTAAGTGGAAAGAAATCTTAATGCTCTTAAATGCTACTAAAATATTTATCTGTCTTATGCTTTTGAGATACTACCTCTTTACATGATTAAATACATTTACCTGTTTACCGCTTTTCTTCTCTTCTGCATTTTTCTTGTCATTTTTTTTGTAAGCTTCAAATGTAGCTGGGTCAACACTGTACAAACACTCAGTCCACTTCCCATACAGTGCACAAAGTTTCTTTTTGCTGTCAAAAAAAAGGACTAAGTTTACAAAAGAACTTAGAGCTTTATTTCAGCATTTCAGACAAAAATAATTGAAAGAAGAACTTTTGAGAACAACTCTTAAAACTCCATTACTGGTGTTGCACAATTCATAATCTTGCTGTTGCTAGTTCATGCCCTTGACAGACTGTTAAAGGCGTTCAGTTCTACAGCTGTCATCAAACAGAGAGGGCAGCCATTTGTTTCCTCTTAGGAGTGAAGCTGTTACCTTTTGTCCTGAATGTAGCCTTCAACTTTGTGCAATTCCTTCCCAAAGAGACCACAGGGCTTGAAGCTTAGTACACATTTCTCCCCAGTTCTAAAGGCAGAACAAGAGGGCACTAATTACTTCCAAATGCTTTTCCTCTTCAAACTTGCAGCAAGTGAAAGCACTCACATCTTAACTTACTTATGGTTAGTTATTTCCACATTTCCGTACTGCTCAATCCAAAGTTTGCCCACAATAATGTTATGCACACAGCACGTAGGATTTGTCCATGTGTAGGCTTCATTGTGTCTAAAGGAGCGGAATAAAAATTAAAATACTGTATCTTTGTACTGTATGTCACTCCTGCAGCAAGCCATCATCTATAAATCGCACCAAGTCTTGAAATGGACATGGCAATAAGTCAGGAAACCCAAGAAGTTTATTAACCTATTGGTACTGATTTTATCAATTCCTTAAAACAGCCATTTCAGCGCAGTCATTGTTAGCACTGAATGACATGAGGAAAGCCAACAGGACTCAAGCGTGCTAATCTTAGTAGGAATGACATCCAGGCACCTTCAGAACATACAGACACAAGCCCAAACTACCGCTATTATTAGTGTGCAGCATATTAGGAGAAATGATGGCAGTTCCTTTCATTTTCTCATCCCCTTTTCCCTTCAAAGTGATCTGCCATCAAACATTACGATGTGGGTGTTAGACATGTCCATTCCTAAGCCATGAGACTCTAATGCACACTAATCATCGTGGATGTGGCCATTGTGCCTATGCAATTACTAATTATTAACTTACTCAAGAAGCTCCAAAGTCATTGTGCCTTTTGGTTCCGCTTCCACACTCTTGCCCCAGAATTTGAGTTTAGGATAAATTGATCCATGAAACACAAAATCATTATTTAAACCTTCAGCAAAAAAAGCACTGATTGGTGGATGATGGCTAACTTGCTCTGACAGAAGTCTAAATCCAAGATCTTCTCTGCAAAATAAAGATAAGCAAAAGCATGTATCTACACATCAAGTATAGTGACATCGATAGTATATCAACTTCACTATATTATATATAATATAATATATATATTCACTATACTTGCCCAAGGTGAAACAGATAGTTGGACCCATGCATAGTTTCTGTACTCAGTGCAAAAGTTAAAGCCCTAGCATAAAACAAAGACAGATCAACTAATGCACAGAACATCTTCATTCTAAGTAACTCGGGACATAACATAAAAACGTAACAAGAACTACCAAATCTGATCAGCCAATATGTTTACTTTTGATAGTGACCTCAAACTTTCACATAAACATAGGCCAAAACCTCACCTGAGAGAAAAATTTGCCCTAAGTGCAGCTGCACACTAATAGACTAACACTGCCTGTTGCATTCTGGACACTCTGTAATAATGACACTAATAATGAATATTACAATTCTAACACCTCCCTTATGTATGTTTTCAGAAAAAAAAAAAGATTTGTTTTTCTAAATAAGACTTGCTTTTAAACCTGGCAAATTTCATTTGCCTGCTCTGAGGTGAAAAGTTAAGTAGTTTCACTTCACTGGAAGGTGCATTGCTGAACACCAACATGCACTGCAAGCACCCGCAGCAGCTTCTAGGAGAATGGGTTGAATCTTACAAGCCGAAGAGCAGTCTGCAAGCCACCTGACAAGTCTAATGAAACATCAGTTACACAGAACACCACTCTCCACTCTTCACAGTGCATCTTCTTTTCATTACCTGATCAATTCATATGTCTCTCCAAGCAATGGGTTGAATGGTTTCCCTGTACGTTCCCACTGCGAGGCTACAGCAGACACAGCAAATGCAGCAACACACTATTTAGAGGAGTAAGAGTACACAGTTATCTCCTGGATTTTAGGCTTTATCAAGTACCTACAGAGTGATTCTTCTGAAATAGCACAGTGAAGTTCTGTTTGCAAGGCAGAGAAATGAACAGTTTTCATCAAAAGGCTAAAACAGCAAGCCTTATGAAAAGCAAAACGTTTTCCTAGATAAGCAAAATTGGATAATGAGTAAGAGAATCTGACATGCAGCAAATTACAGGAGTTCCTCCTATAATGAGACTACCTATGAAGAAGAAAATCCCAACACATTCATCAAGAGTTAACACAAATTACCACACCCAAAGTACCTGCATTCGCTCAGTTGTACTGGAAAGTGAGCTGGCTTTGTGGATGAGGTATGTATGTTCCATATACTCTGTAAGTCGTTGCAGAAAGCTCAGTGGCTCATTGAATATAACTGGCATTGTGATCTTCGACAACTCCTGATGCACAAATGAAATTTGTGTTAAAAACAAATGATTAGATATACTGACCTGCAGTAACCCAAGTGTAATTGGCTTATTACAAAAATAAACGATGCTCTTAGTGCTAATGCAATGTGCTTGACCTGGCTCCGCTAATGCTGAAAGGAAAAAACCCTGTACATCCCTTATGAGCTTGATAAGCCTATCTGTGTTGACATTAAGGCTACTTTTAAAGCAAAAAGAAAACTGAACATCAATCAAGCAAACTTCCTATCTACAAATGTATTATTAAGAAGGTGACATGAAACAATGGAATGAGCTATTAAGGGCCCTTTTGAAGACCAAGTTATTTATTACTCTTAAAATAGATTATAGGCCATCTAATTACTTAAACATATTATCTCTTTTTGGAGGCTGGTGGGCAGGCCGGGGGAAGAGGATGAGGAAGGACAGGGAAACATGGCGGCACAGGAGTAAAAACAGGGATTGTGTATTCTGAAGAAAAAAGAAATTTTTGTAACAGGACTAAAAATTTAAAAGTCGTCCTACAGTTCTGATGCTCTTTATTTCTCTTTCCCATTTTTAAAAAGCACGGCCTCTGAACGCATAATATAGCAATGGTTTAAACAGCCTGCAGTAGCAAATTAAAAGCATATAATATGATCATGGCAATGTGCACAGTAAATAGCACTGTTCTTAACCACAATAGCAGCACCTGGCACTAACAGCTTTGGCAAACACTTTGGTACAATCCACTCCAAGTTCCAACCGTGCCCCCCCCCCGCAACTGCAACTTCTGTGCAGCAATTTATGCAAACCAGAATCAAGACCTTTATAGATTTTTTTTTTTTTCCTGCACACATCTTACGCACAACAGGCTTTCAATCTGCTCACTGCATTTTAAGGTTATAACACTTTTTTGCTAAAGCCAATGTGAGAAGCTTCAGATGCTTCACAACAGCTCAGAAGACTTGGAGCTGCTCATACAGGCATTCCCCAGCATTTCTACATCTCAATGCTTGCTGCTGTTTTTAACTACAGCAAGGGGCGGAGAAGAAAACAACAGTGACTAAACACACATGTTCCCTCCTGCAGGCTACTGTTACAGGCTGATAGAGGTTTATTGGCAGTAACTATGTTCAGCCTACTGCAGTTCCAATGGAGAGAACTATTCCAAATTCACCCTTAGCTCGGAGCAGATTATGTGCCAACCAGCTAACCTCCACCTGGCTAGGAACACCATGGGTGGAAAGACTGAGACACTAAGGGGAAGGGAGAAGAGCAAATTTATAGTTTTTTTGGTTTTGTTTTTTTTTCTACAGTCAAAGTAAATTTTTTTTTTCTACCACCAAGTACTTTAAAGGTTAAAAATCAAGAGAAAATGCTTTTACTGAAGGAATATTGCTCTGACCAAGTCTTATCTTCTCAAGTTGTAAAAGCAAATAAAGCATAAACAGCAAATTTATAACAACAAAAAAAACCCCAAACCCTCTCCCCAACAAGTTTTCATTTGGGCCTCAAATGAAATAAACCACTTCACATCTTTTATCATAGCTTTCTGATCACCTACCATTCCAATGCATTTTCTTAAGATACTCCAGATACTGAAATCATTTCTGGAAAACATTGGAGATGGCAAGCTTGTTCTGCAGAAAGGAACAGGGAAGAAACCAGAAGGAAAGTTTTCCATTACTAACCACAACTAAGAAACACAAATATTCTGTTTTGAAAGTAACAGTTTTCCAATTTTTAAATTAAAACCAAGGGGGAACAACAGTGCTACTTTGAAGGACTTAAACTGTTTTACCTGCAGAGCAACCCAAACTTCTCCAAAACCAGAACCGTTCCCTTCATTTTGCATACGAGCAGTGGAAGAGGATTTCTACATCAGTTGTCAGAACAGTGTTTTCACAATGGCACCGTTAAGAGATTTAGTTGTGTCTCAGAGAAAAAGTATGTTGTTTCTGAGTAGGTACATAGGTACGTTCACTATGTCTGAACAGATCTGAAGGTTAAACAGTGCAGTTTTTGTTTGCTAGTCACCCGTATACGGACAATGAAGGGCCATGACATTTATTGCCTATTAAAATCAGCCTTCAGGAACAACAGAAAAGCAGTATCATTAAAGAACAGAAAACACAGCAGCTCATTCTACAGGGGGCTGACATATCCTGAAGCAAGTCTTAAACATACTTTCAAGATCAACATGTAGGCGGTGTAATACAGCCTGTACTGCTCAGCTTTACAAGAAATCAGACACAGATTTTCTTCGCTTTTCTTACTGCTACTGACCAACACAACTATTAATCTAATTTACCTATAGAAAGACATAAATATAGGTCAAAACCCTTTGTCTACAACAATGCTAAAACTCGTGTTTGGATCATGAAGCTATTACGAATGAAAAAAATTCTCAATAGCTAACAATTACCTACAGCTCACTCGAACTGTATGAACTATTTGAGTTTCAACATTTATTTAACTCTGCCTAAATGATCGTGTTGCCCTAACCAAGAAGATCTTGTCTCCCCTCAAAGCAGCTAAAGCAATACCTTTTTTAAAGAGTGTGAACAGGCTGTAGCTGCCTCCTCCACCCCACTTTTCTGACACACAAAAACATTGCCAAGAGGGGAAAAAAAAAAAGTTTAAAAAATTATATATTCAGCCTAAGTTGTTAGTTTCAGTAGCACTACTTGCTGTGTTACCTCCCATACTTAGCTGCTATTGAAACACCTTTAACCAGGGATGATGCATCAGTTTTCAAAGAACAAAACCAAAAAATCCTCCTTAAAATATAACAAGCTCCATCCAATCAAAAACCTAGTCATATACCTGAACTCCTCACAGTACCAAACTATGTTTTGTCAGCAAGTAGTTAACAGCCTAACACTAACTTGTTTTACTCAGCTCCCATGCAAGGGATGAGTAGGTAGAAGGATTTATTTTAATTGACCAACATGATATCACTCACTCCCTATTCTGATTTTCCACTGATACGAAAATATTTCATGAAACAGATTATCTTGAATAATATTAAGTATAAAATACTTCTGTGGATGCTTTGATACAGATGTCCAGGAGAGGACAGTGTCCACCAAGTATTCAGTCTTTCCTTCACTTGTAGTGTGGACTGATTTTTTCTGTGTATCCTTTAATGAAGTCAGTTAGCAGGGTGGGTATTTGTGTTTAAGAAAGCCTTTCTGCAAGTGAAACACACTCACGTGCCTCAAGTTTGCTGAAGTATACATAGGGGTTGCTTTCCTTAGATATTAAAACTTACATTTGCATTGAAGTTAATGTGTCCCTCCATTCAATTTGTTTAATTACTTGAAAGCTGGCATTCAGTTTCAGCCATTCATTCATATTTCTTACATATATGTCAGCCAAACGTGATACAGGAGTCAGTTCTTTTCTCCATATAACACACAGAAACTGAAGAAACAAAGCAGTTTTCTGCCACCAAGAAAGATCCCAGGGGCAAGTAAGGACATGTGGAAAAATGACAGGCAGCCAAGACGTGAGGCCTACTAACCTTGACACACTCCCCGTGATTAAGGGAAAGGTTTGTGAATGCAAAAATTTCCTTCCAGATGTCAATTTTAGAAACAACTCAGGAAGTTAACTTTAGCTTTAAGTGACAAAAACATCTGCTGGAACTTCTGTGCAGTAGAACAGATAAGATGCATTTAAGATCATTCACTTAAACAAAAACACTTGTTTGAAGCATTATCTATCGTAGATCTACTACTACAGGAATCTTGTAGGGAAGAAAATATATGGTGTGAAAAGGCATGTTTAGCTTGCTCTTCATGTACACCTGATCAAATAACCTTCTGGCTCCCAAAAAGCCAAACACAAACATGTTTGCATTCTGAAAGGCCCCCAATGGTGGGACCAAAGGGAAAGCTGACTACAAAAACTCATCAGTAAGAGGGAAACAGCAGTGATAAATGGATGTTAAATGTTGGTAGGTATTACAAAACATTTTTGTGCAAGGGTTTTTGGGGTTAGGGCTTGGTTGTTTCCTCCCCCACCCAAGTCTGGCTCAGATTAAAAATGTCCCTCTTAAAAAGAGGTGATTTGAACATTTCCAGATCTAATGTACTATTCTCGTATGTGTCAAATCCTCGCCCAAAAAGTTTTCAAAATTAAGTCCACTCTCAAATCAACCTGAACTACAAGAAGTCACATCACCCACATTCTTTCAAACACTCTATGAACAATCAGTAAGATGCAAATTATATTTAAGAAATCAGAGCAAGACAGCAGATTATAACTGGCACTGGCTTCACATATCTATATATATGTACATCTCAACACTTTTAGTTCCTTGGAACCAACAGATTTATTCCTTACATCTCCAAAACCAAAACACACTCCCCCACTCAAAAACAGACCTCTACTTCCCTGTGCAAAATCCTCACCACTTAAATAAGAGAGGCAGATTAGAACTCAGGTTTTCTAGATGAAGGTAGGAAAGTTTTGTTTATACTGACTGCTAAACAGTGTTAGGTACTCTCAACTCAAATGCAGCTTCAGATCCTCTATTTACCTGAGGAGCTACAGGTAAAGAAAGGTATCAATATGTTATGCAAAAGAAATTAATCTGGGCTATTCTCCAAGTGACTTCTTTCCATGTGGTTAACACAAATAGAAGGCAAACAAAGAAGTTATAGCAAACCCAAAGGTGTAAGGCCAGAATTAAGTGCTGTCAAAACATTCTAACCCCTTCACCTTGCACAGCATCAAGAAGTTAAGATTTTCTGCTCTGAAAAGTACACAGGTGGCATCACAGACAATGCGTATTTGACCACATGCCATCTAATGAGCCCCAAAACCAAAAGCAGTACAAACTGGAGCCAGCAGCTTCAAGAAGGTAACAGTTCTGAAGTCAGAACCACAATCAGACATGGCAAACTGATCCCATACCAGGCCAAACATCGCTGCCACCAAGAGCCTCAGAAACACCACACAACTCCCATCCCCTGAGAAGGTTCTCATGGAGGCAAAATTTAAACTGGCTGCACTCTGGAGAGAAACAGTTTGCATCAACACCTTTGTGGACAAACCCCAATGTGTCACCAAGGTGCCAGGTAAAAAAGCTTGACATTACAGCTCAACCTGGAGTGTGCTCTGTAGCCATTTATTCACATAAAACATCACCATATAATATCATCACTATATGCCAAACAGATGTTTCCACTTTTCTTTAGCAGTAAATTATTAGCCAAACAACTTATGCACTCATTTTACTCCAACATCCTACACTCTCTTTACTACTAAAAGACAGAGAAACAACTTACATCTTCAGTCCCACTTATAAAACCAGCAGATCTTAAATGCTCCTGCAGTCACATGCTCCCTACAGTTCTGACAACAAAGACAATGCATGTCAACATGCATCATCATTTTCATGTTGATCACCAATTGCCTCCTTTCTCCTCTTTGTTGCCATGGCAATTAATGCAATTCAGATGTCCACCTTCACCTAGTGCTTCCCCCCTCCTATCTTCCTGCTCTAATTAGGAAAGGCACTTAGCCAAGGCCATAAATACCACCCTTGCTAACAGCACAAGAGCTGAGCATGACATGCTTAGTCAGCTGCTTTATGTGACCTTCCCAAACCACCCCATTACTCCACCCAAGCCCTCATTTGCCTTAGTCTTTGCCTAGTATGGGAGGTATATACATGCAGAGGTTGAACCTTTGAAACATCAGGTCTCTGACGTTACCACATACTTCAACAGTCACTGCAATTTATCTCTTTAAGATACCAAGTAATTAAAGCATGTTTTCACACACAGAATCATTAAGGTTGGAAAAGACCTTTAAGATCATCAAGTCCAACCATCAGCCCAACACCACCATGGCCACTAAACCAGGTCTTGAAGTGCCACGTCCACATGTTTTCTGAATACTACCAGTGATGGTGACTCCACCACCTCCCTGGGCAGCCTGTTCCAATGTTTGACTGCTCTTTCAGTAAAGAAATTTTTCCTAATATCTAGTCTAAACCTCCCCTGGCACAACTTGAGGCGTTTTGCTTGCTTCTGTAAAATTAAATATGAATTTCCTGTTTTTCCAGAAATCTGGTATTCCCATCATCATTCTGCACATTCAAAACGCTTCCAAAAGTAGTCTTTTTGAAACATGCGGAAGTCTGGCTGATCTGTAGCACAAACATTATATTGCCCCTTCTCTGAAACTCGAGAATAGTGGTGTCTATTACATCTCATTAACTCCAGACCTATTGTCCTCCTTTATCAGTGAGGAAACAAACAAAAATGGATCATTTGACAACACAAAATAAGCACATAAAACATAGATGAGACTTTTAGAATAAAAGTCCCTTTGTTCACATTTGAGTTTCTGATGCCAGGCTAGCAATATTTTTTCATTCATTCCCGATACCAACAGGAGGATCAAATGACTGGAAATTAAAGAGGCAATAGAAGGCATAGGTCATTAAAGATACATAAAGGAATTAAAATCCACATAGATTTCAATAACATCTATGAAAAAACAAGTGTGTCCACTTTTACATAGCACATTGTATTTTATTTTTACTTGAGATACTTGGTCACCAAAAAATAACATGCAAAGAAGCACACCAGCCTTGGAAAAATATTCTTTATAAAACCATAGCACATCCAACTTCTTGTCAATCATCCCTAAAAAAGTTTTAAAAGTTTTAAGTTAGATTTTCAGAGATTCCTGTGATCTTTTACTTACCATTAATGCATATTATAATACCTTAAGAACAGGCGACATCCTACCTGTGTTTTTTGATTCCGTTAGACAGCAACTCCCCGCTGCCACAAACCTTTTCTTCAGACATGCTTGAAGTTATTGTATCTCTTGAATCCATGCTGTCCTCTGGTGAGTAGGCCGTTGTTGTTTCAAACCCACTTAATGATTTTTCAGATTCTGAATCTGCAAAAGAGCAGGTGCATGTTAGTCAATCTACAGCTTGTGCTAGACTTCAGTCACTAACAGATCTTCCCTCTTTGTACAAAACTGAAACCCAAGTAGGCTACTGTGTCCTGATGACAGCATCCATTTGGTAAGTAACTAGTACTGCCACAGACTGCTGCAGCTCTCTATCTAAATATAGACTAAAGAGATTACAAGATAAGCAATATCAGTAGATTAAAAATCCTCTCTTAAACAGAACCAAAATCTGACATTTTCATTAAATTGAATCTATTATAACTTGCTTAGGACAAGTGCCAGTGTCATGTAGATGCCAGTATCTTACCTAAGTAAGTAACAGTTACCTCAACATTCAAGTATTGACTCCTCCTATATAACATTTGTTTGGTCTAAATTCTTAGACACTTTGTGCTGTTCAGCCACCTTCACTTCCCAATAAACAAGTATCAAAGAACAGAAGGAGGTATTGTACGCAGTAGATTACATTAGCCACGTAAGTCCCAGCAAAGTCTAGATGATAAGCTCACCAATTAATAAGACAAACTCTGTACTCTGGAAGGTAGGTTAATAGTACAATCCACACCACACCTAAAACTAAAAACAATATCAACACTACCACCTTATTTCCAACCAGTGTTTTGGTCAGGTAGTGCTTGACCAGCTCTGGAGAAGAGATAGTCTCACCCCAAATCACAAAGTAAAAATTTCCTGGCAAAAGGCTGTCATTTTGTTTCATATTTTTCTTTCGAACTTGACAAGACTGTCAAAAGATTATCCAACTGCAAGTTCCCAGAAGCAAGGGAACAGCTCAAGACAAGTAAAGATGCACCAATTTCTATCCCATTGGGGAAATTCTTTAGCAGAAACTAGGTACAACACTGAATGGTAAACAGCTTAACACAAGCTTCACTGCTTCTGGAAAAAGCAAACCCAAACTGTAGTAGACACCATTCAGGCATATGGTACTGCTCTTGGCTGCAAATACAAAGAGAAATAATTGCAAGCTTAGTCATTCTCTCACATGCTGATTCTAATTCAAAACTAGTAATCAAAACCTAATAAACTAGTAGTCCATCCAAAAGAATATCTCAGTCACATCTGTCCATTACCAGGTGCTTTCCTATTTTCTCTTAAAAAATGATGTCAGCAGCTTCTCCAGAACGTGTAAATTACATATTGCTTTGGTGAAGGGGACAGTGACAAGAGGACTTCCTACTATATCCAGATTAGAGAAGGGTCAAGAACAGAACAAAAATCCTGATGAATGGATGAGCTGTGCCATAACATCTCCATCCTCTCTAGAGAGAGTAAGATCTAGAAGCATAAAGGAGATCTCTGCTTTCATTGAAAACATCCAACCCTATCCTCATCAAGACAGTACTGAAATAAAGCCAGTTGCTAGGGAATGAAAAGAACTGCCAGCTGGTGCTGAGGATATGTTAAAAAAAGTGGACTGGCACTCCAGAGAATCTTCTCCCAAGTTTCCCCAAATTTGTCAGTCTAGTTCTGTGCCAAATTATGATGTAACATATCAAAGCATTACTTTGGTGGGTACTGTATATAACAAGTAGGATAAGGAGAAACATTTTTACTTGTGGACAAGTCTGTTATATAAAATACAGATTTCTCCAGAGATCATAAGCCCAGGTAGTCAGGAAAACACTGCTGCTATAGAAATATCACAGAGGAAGAGACACTTAAGCACCAGAACACAACTTGGGCTTCAGCATCCTGACCACATGACAAGCTATAAATCCCTTCAAGGCAAGTATTCTACCTCTCTATTGAAAGAGCTGCTCAACTGCACCAACAGTTATCATAACAAGAAATGCATGAAGCAAACCCGGTAACATAGAGCAAAGAGTCTGCCTCCCATAAGGCTTCGTTCTTCTTCTGTACCATCCAGGACTGTCTTGTTTTAAAGACAAGAGTCATGACACACAATTCCCTCAATTTGAGTTTCTGCAACAGACCTAGGACTCCAGAGGCAGAAAAGGAAGAATAGGTAAGCTTTACCAGAACTCCTGACCACACACTGATATGCTTCTCAGTATAACAAGGATTTTTAAACACCACACATGATCAGTACTCCCAATATTGGCCTTACAGTGCCAAGAGACAATTATGCTGTACTGAGCTCAGCACCTGCAAACCTCTCCAGAGCTGTAGGCAATGACCAGCCAGCCTTCTCCAGGGCACATGCCTTAGTTAATACAACAAGAGCATGCTATACAATAAAGAACAGTAGAAGAATGAAACCAGACACTATTATAAGAAATCACTCTCTAGAGACATCTTGCCCATTTTCCTGAGAAATGACTCTCATTGAGAAAGTATGTCTAAAACACCTCCTGCCATCGAAGATATCAATCTCCAATCCCTAAACCTCAGCTACCACCTTTGACCCTACCTGCCAGACAAGGGCAACAAAGCTAGTGAGGGGTCTGGAGAACAAGTCTTATGAGGAACGGCTGAGGGAAGTGGGGTTGTTTAGTCTGGAGGAGAGGAAGCTGAGGGGAGACCTTATCGCTTTCTACAACTACCTGAGAGGGGGTTGTGGTGAGGTGGGTGTTGGTCTCTTCTCCCAAGTAACAAGTGATAGGACAAGAGGAAATGGCCTCAAGCTGCGCCAGGGGAGGTTTAGACTGGGTATTAGGAAAAATTTCTTTACTGAAAGAGTGGTCAAACATTGGAACAGGCTGCCCAAGGAAGTGGTGGAATCACCATCATTGGAGGTGTTCAAAAAACTTGTAGACCTTGCACTTTGGGACACGGTTTAGTGGGCATGGTGGTGTTGGGTTGATGGTTGGACTTGCTGATCTTAAAGGTCTTTCCCAACCTTAATGATTCTATGACCCAACGAGCTTAACAAGCCTTGGGAGTTTGTTTAGACAAACACTCTGTTTGTGTCAGAGTGAACAAGTCAAGTATTGTATTGTGAGCATAGATCAACAGGCAACTCAAACTGAGCTTTTCCCTGTGTACTTCCAGCTAACTCTTTTCTGAATTAAGATTTGCATACTCCCCCGTCACTGCAAAAAAAGATTTATATTCACAAGTTGCTACAGAGCAGCTGTCAAACAGATGACTAGGAGAAAATGTGGGGTTTTTTTCTATTGAACTTAAGGGGGTGTGAGCTGAGGAAGGAGGAGAAGGAATAAGAGTCACTGTTCAGAAGCCAAAACTAAGCGATCTTTGAGACAAGACCAGGCTGACTAGGAAGCACTCCAGCTCATGAAACCTCAAGTGTCAGGTTAACAGTAAAAACACCAGCTACATTTTTCAAGAGGAGAGCAAGGGGAAACAGCAGAAGCAATGAGAATAACTCAAGGGAAGTTCATCTCCTATTGCACCTACTGGTAAGACTTCAGTTCCAGATAGAAAAGTTTGGACAATGTATTTGATTAATAAATACACCTGAGAAAGGTAGTGTTTAACCCTGTCAAGGTTGGATTTGAATTCTGATGAGGTGTTTCTCATCCCTCTCTGAGATACTTGAATTCATTTTTTTTAACTATATTCAAAACAAGAAGTCTGCAGCCAGCAGCGTTCTTGCAAAGGTTGGGGAGTATTTTTGGTACCCATTCAAAAAAAAGCCACTTGACAAACCACCCTAAACACAGAAAGAAAGGGCAGTAAGTTTCTAAGCTTTTTGTAAAATTTTTACGTTTAAGTGAGCTGGAGACAAACTAGGAAGTGAGCAAAAGCAACAGAACTAGTCTACTACTACTACTACTTGTACCATTATTCATGAAGAACATTACTTATAAACACAGCACCCATTAGTGGTACACAGCAGTTGAAGCTGTACTATTACAAGTTAGCTTTAGTAAAATATTCCCTTAGCTAAATAACTGCTTTGACAGTAAGATTGCATCTATGTAAAACCATCAATAGCTCCCGCAACAGACACAAAAACTGTATTTGCAGAAAACACCCACCTCTCAGATAAAACCCGTTAAAGAGAAAAATGAGGACAGTTCTAAGCTCTTCCTAAATTGGGTGTGCAATTTGCATATAAAGGAATCTTACCTGTAAGGCAAAAATCAAGGACCTTCACCCTTTAATTCTTGACCTGCTTAGCCATTTTCAGCATTGTGGACGGACTCTGCATTCGTATTCCATTTTCATATGCTTCCTGAGGTCTGTATACTTAATCAAAGCTAGTAACTTCTCCAGCTCTCTAGGAGATGTCATTGGTCTTACTAAATTTTGCTACTTGTTTAGTGCTTCTTCCCTTTCCCAATGCCCCCACCCCACCCTGTCTTACATAGAAGAGACTAAGATACGTTAAGCATTCAATCCTGAAGCAGAGAGCTCCAAGCACTCCATGTGCTACTGAATTTAATTACATATTTCCACCACTCCCATCATGAGAGCATCAGTGCACCAGAATGCACTGTTAACTGACCTATTGCTAATCAGAACTGAGATTAGTAACACCCTTGACTTTGCTTTTCTTAAAGCTGGATATCATGCTTTGGTAACACAAAGTAACTCCCATTTCCTGTAGGTTCTTCCTTTGGTGTTCAGTGTCTACTGCTCTCCCATCGCAGGGATTTAGGAGTCGCTACAACAGCCAGAAAGCATTGATTAACAGCATATCACTTAAAAAATAAAGAGGAGAGACTTCAGCAAATAAACTACTACTTCAGTAAGCAATCTTACCACATTACAAACATTGCCCTCACCCCAGTTTTGGAAAAGAAAGAGAATACTTCTGTATAATAGTGCCCACAATTTCTACAAACAGAACTACACAACACAGACACATCAGTGACCAGTTTAGTCTGTGCCAACATTAGCAGGTAGCATGGCTCAGTTGGGGCAGACTTGCAAGCCAAACAGATGGTGCTGAGGACTTGACACTTGAACTAGACACATTTCTGGTGGTGTTCTCTTCAGATTAGCTCTAGTCTCCTGCCACAGACTGAGTGTCCAACAGCAACCGACTGTATCTGCTAATTCAGCTTCATTCAGGAGTCTGGTTCATGCAATCAGATTGCTCTACAGTGTGAATCAGAGCATGGTAAACAGGGTCAAGTACCTGCTGCTGTGAACATGTCCTTTCTAATACACTACTTCTTAAAAAAACTGTTTGAAAGTGTTGCATTGCTCTGAACTGTCACAGCTAGTGATACTTTTATTGAGAGTAAACAAGCAGAAGTGTCTAATATGCAGACAACGTTCTTTAAAAAAAACAAACCAAAAAGCAGCAGTGCCTTCCTTCTTTCAACCTGTCAAGTCAAAGCTAATGATTCTTCAGCCTAAAGTGCAAGCCTAGTTATGCAATACTCTCACTTCTAAAATCACTCCTACGGTGAAGATTTAAAAATTCAGAGAACTGTAACTAGAAAAAGATGGTATCCTAATAGAAAAGAATACTCTCAAGGTAGTGGCATTTTTCTATTGACACACATTATAACTTGTCACATGACCCTCTTAAAATACATTGGTGTTTGCTTAATCTTCTATATAGCCTACTAAGATAACTCATTAATATCTATTTATCCAAAATTAGTACCATTTAACTTAGTAAAATACCATCAGATTGCAAGTCAGATTTAGCAAAACCTTTGAAGACAAAGTCCTAATTTAGATTTCTGGAGGTATAAATTTTTAGCTTCTGATAATTAGGCCTAGACACTGCTCTCTTATGAAAATATTTATGATCATATCCCCTATCTCATTAGCCCAAGAAAGCACGACTCACATTCCCAAACTCTGAGCCAGTGTCATATATCCCTGATCCCCTTGCTCTCACTGTACTCTTGTCATACAGAGACAAGAAGCCTTCTAGTTGAGGCTCCACAGACATGGCAGAAAAGCAAGAGGGTTAGAAAATATTATTAGGATCCCAGCGATCGGCCTAGAAAAACTCACCCCAAGCCACACCCACAAAAAACTAATTCCTTTTGTGCTTATGGTGAAAGTCATAACATGCATCCAGCACCCAGGAAAACATGTCACATTTCTCTTTTGCCAGCCCAAAAACCAGAGTGCTCTTCCCTCAAACAAGTGCCTTCAGAGACAGAGGGGACCCTAATCACTGCAAAGCACTGAATGTGAACAACCCTGAGAAAAGAATCTAATACAAGTCTGATGAAGTTGACAGACAGCCAAGAAAGTGAGTCTGCCCTGGAAAATTATTTAAATTGCAATCAAGATGAATTATGTCGAGTAACTTCTCCCAAAGGAGAGAGAATTGACATATAGATACACACACAGACACATGCATGCTCACCAAGTTTCGCAGTTACACAAATCCATTCAATTTGATTGTAGCTTCAAGTGACAGAAACACCACCTCTCCCAAGCAGAGAAGAGGCGGCTTTGGACACTTTCATTCAAGAAAATTTAGGACTGGGTCAGTTATGAGATGTACAGGCTAAGAGACTCAGCTTTAAAAGCTAAGTATTCTCTCATATACACAAAGCAAGACTGGCTGGAGAGACTACATTCCAGCAGCACCTGATAAACAACTATTCTCTGCTTTGTTGCAACAAGTAAAAGAGCCTGAGGCCTTTCAGCAGAATTTTCTTTTGGTTCTGGTTGAAGAACCTGTTTCCAGTGTTCCTCAATCTCTTCTCCTCTTTGAAGGCTTGATAAATTTGTTACTATGCCAAGCAGCAAAGTCTGCTGTCAACTCGCTGTGTTCCAGTGCTAGTGCTATACTTGAGTATAGACTCCACTTTGCCTGTTCTTATTCTCTGCTAAGTAGCGCGCTGCAGAACACCTATCAACGAGTCTGGGAACACTGCTTTTCTCATCTGTCAGAAGCATCAGACAGTTCAGCTCACAGAAAAAGTAACCCCATACTTGCTCATGAAGTATGCCATCACAGCCTAATTATTTGCCACAGTTAGACTATGTTCACTCTCAAGCTTTTCCAGATCCTTCATAGCTGTAAACAGCTGTGTTCTGTGGGATCACCCAGTTAGAGCTATTACTGAACTGCACTATGTACAGCCTCTCTATACAAATAGATAGTGTAATCATCTTACGCAGTTCAGAGGTTTCCAAAATCACTATGTGCATGTTCTGCACATGAAAATATGAAATATGAGAGATATTAAACTGAAGAGCAGACAGGGAAAGAAAAGATATTTCAGAAATGCATGCAGGATTTTGATTCCTTCTTTTCTTACACCTGTGACACTTGAGGTATACAAAAGTGTCTATTTTGACTAGACATATAGAAACAGAACAAGCCTTTCTTAAACTCATTATCCCTCAAAACTAGTGATTTTTATGGACTGATATAACAAAAGAAAAAACATATACCACCATGGAGAAAGCAAGTCAGAAGGCTACCAGATACAGTTACATCTCCTACAATAGGAGCCTTAAGTTTTGCTATTTAAAAAAAAGGGTGTAGACACCCAAGCAATCAGACCTTTCATGACTGCTCTGTGGTTCTGTAACTTTTTGTCATGCTAAGGTGAAACAACACAATTCTGCAGGTGACCTCAGGCAAAACTTTAGAGGCTCACTCATGAAGCATTCTCCTTAAGTTAGTTTCATGTTAGAAAGACAGATATTTCACTGAAAGTGAGACTGTAGCCATACCCTCACCACCCACCAAGGTATTCAGCACACACATGCTGGCTACACACTCACATTCTGGACATCGTTACTTACCTGAAACAGCATCATAGAACTGCTCTTCACTGATGATGCTGAGTGGCGGAGATCCCTTAACCAGAGACTGCTCTAGTTCATGGTGTTCAGTAGCTAATGTCTCTAATGCTTCTGACAAGATCTTGTTTTTCTCCTGCTCATGCTCCAGTTTCAAATTCCTCACCTATAAGTAGATACATGTATGAATAAAATCTCATGTCTCCAAAGAATGTGTAGCTGGAAGCTATTCAGAAAATAGACTCAAATAAATAACTGGCAAACAGCTGGAACTGAAACTACATGGACTAATGAAAATATTATGGTATTTTGTGATGACAATATGGTTGTTCCTCAGCATTTTCAGTAGTTGAGAAATCTGACAGTATAAATCACAATTCCACAAGTGAATTCACAACAGATAACTATACCTTAAAACTGAGGGGAAATATTTACAACTCTACTTGGATGACCTTAATTATGGAGTTAGTGATCAGTTTCTACGTGCAAATGTAGAATTTGGGCCAAGCAGCATCACTCGAATTATAGAGCAAATGTGAATGCCAGCTACAAATAACTGCAACTGAACTATAGGCTGAAAACATTTAACCCTGAAGATTACAGAAGGAGGTTAAAAAAAAAAAGAGATTCCTCTACTAACTGATTTAACATCAATATAAACAGCCCTCCCTCCCCATTCCCCAAACAGTTTACAGAGGAGCCAGAAGCTAACAAAAAAAGAGGCCCAGCCACCAGCCAGTGGACATTTTTTTTAAGCCCACACATGCAATCGCCTCCAGAGAGGATGATGTTATCCACATTTTGAGTCCAGGACTAGTATCAGGAAAGGAACATGTCCTTCCTCCTCATGTGTTTTGTGTTTGTTTTTTTTTTGTTTGTTTGTTTTTGTTTTGTTTGGGGTTTTTTTTTTTTGGTTTGTTTTTTGTTTTGTTTTGGGGGGGGGGGTGGGAGTGTTTTTTTGTTTTTTTTTCCTTCTGGTGCTTTCCCACCTCCTCCTTCTGCCAGGGGAGGGGAGAGGGCTGCAGCTGAAGGCTGGAGAAGGGCCTCTTCTCCCAGCCCAGCAAGGCTTCAGTGTACTACTTCTCCTTCAGTCCCTAAACCATTGACTCTCTTGCTTTCTCCTCCCCTCTCCCTTCCAGTCCCTCTTTTTAAGTATCCCCAACCCCTGCCTTGTCCTCTAGTTTACTCTCAAAGGTCAGTTTACCGCGCTAATTCCCCATCCACTAAGAACATGCAAGGACATGACAATTAATCTCTTGGAACAGTTACAGGGACAACTTAAACACTTTCCTAAGCAACTTACACATATACCAACATTGCCTTTTCAAGTCTAATTTAAGAACTGCTTGTATGTCCTATCTTGTTACATTTTACATTAAAGCTTTACTTTGGAGGCTTCAGGCCCCTCAGCTATAACTACCACTCAAATAGTGGATTCAGAGTTCAGCACAAAGGAGGGGGTGCAAATTTAGAGGCTAGAAAGAAGATGTTAAAGCAGATTCACCACTTCCAGAGAAGAGTTTCTATGCTGGCAGTAACATATCCTCTGGAGAAAGATTTATGGAAGAAATTTTCACCCCCTCAGTTGTGCCAAATACTAAATCAGCTGGTTTGGCTGCCAGGCTCTGAGTGTAAAGGGGCAATCCAATTAAATGATAATTAAAAGAGTATAAAATTGGGTTGCTAATTGAAAGCAATAAAACCAGTAAGTCACTTACTGTCTAATAGTTTTACCCTGAACAAAATGAAAAAAAATCTGGACTAGTTACTGTCACTTTCATTTAAAGTTCACTGACGTTACCAAGGAAGCCAATTACTGCAATGTTTTGTACAAATCAGACATGCCACTGCAAAGGATCTGTTAAGCAGTTTCTGCAGGGTTTACATTTTGTGTGCTATCAAATAGTTAAGGAACTGCCCGTTTAGAGAAACAGCATCAGTATTTCACTCAGAGAGGGGGGATAGAGGACTGGAAATAAACTGATACTTTTCATTCTTACTGAACAGCAAAGTGAAACCAGTTATTAAAATGGTATTTGCAGATTTTTTTTTTTTTTTGCAGCAGTGAATTAGATGCCTTTATGCTTTGTTTTGAGAAATAATTTGACTGGTATAAATCTTTACCTATAATTTAAGTTTCAATGTTATGTAACAGCAAATTGAAAGAAAATCAAACTATATTTACACCAAAACCCAGATGGACCTTTTTTAACATCCCCTAAAGCACAGTAGTGTAAATAAACAAGCAACAAACAGATATAGGCTTAAGATAAACACACCCCACCCCCAAGTCTTTTATTGACTTCAAGGTTCCTCTGCCCCATCATAACATAGAGCTATTCAGTATTGCAGAAGGTATACTAGAAACAAATTCCCTTTTTGGAAAATAAATAGCCAGCTTTATAGGAAGGTTCACTTTTCTGCATATGTCCAGACTTCCTATCTGCCAAACACTTACTAGAACAGCAATTACACACTACTAGTAGGTAACATAAAAAGGCTTTTCATCTGTTACATACGCAGCACACTAGCCAGAAGCCAAGGAAAAAAGAAAACATGTTTAAGTGTGTTGCTTGTAATCTTTGGGATGTTCGTTCATATCTGCATGAACTGACATATCTGATACAGCATTCATCATATCTGAATGAACTGTTCATTCATAACTGAATAAACTGGTTTTAAAGCAACTTTAATTCAATACTTGGGGGCTGGAGATGAAAGTCTAATATAAAACTTTTGTCAACTGTACTGAGCTTGTGAGATGGACACATTCAGAGAGCTGAGAGGTGGCCCTACAAACCTCTACATTCTAGTACTTGGTGAAGGGTAAGAGTTTACACTAGCAGCTCTTTGAATGTAGTGGTCTGGAAATACTGTCTGTAACTATACTATGTCCATAAGCAGCCAAACAGTTCTATGGTGGCAACACGAGAACTGGGGGCGGGGAGGGGGGAGACAGTTCTACTACCATTATTTGACTGATTTCACCTGTACAAAAGCAATGCTTGCAGAGATAGAGCTAGTACAACCTTCATGTACAGTACTTAAAAATACAGGTATCACTGGAGAAATAACCTTGTTTGAAATAAGCATATTGTTTTGGTTTGTTTTTTTTTTAACCACAAAGCAGCTTTAAGCAATACCACCATTTTGTCACCTTGTGTTTTATTATTGATGAGATACATCTCCTAAAACCTTCTTTCAGTAATTTGGTTGTAAAGACTGATGTTTTGGTTTTTCTTCCAGAACCACACACTCCGTTCTTCCAAGCTTAACAAGAAATATGCAGGCAGACTGGCACTATTTTCAAAGCGTAAGTTTATTGAACAACATAGTTGACCGAGTGATACGTTTTCCCAAAATGTAAGTAGATTGCTGTTATGCATAATTTTGCCATACTCTATTTTTCATTCACAAGACTTGTCCAATGATTAAGGTCTGCGGTGAATTATTCCATCTTCCTGGCTACTCCACCATGATTTTTGGAGAGGACACTTCAGCTTTATCCCTCTTCCCAAAATTTTTCCTTCCCCATCCTGTCTGTCTTCAGTGACCCAACACAAAAACAACTGCAAGATTACAAAAGGAACCTCCAGACTAGTTTTAAAAATGCTTATTAACACAAAATCTTTAGACTCTATGTATAAGCAGCAAGACAAGTATAAAACGATGAAGAAAACACCTGCCTTCAGAAGCATATGCATTTCAGTCTATTAAACTGGATGCAGACAAACCAATATTTTTTTAGTGGGCTATCATCCGATTTCTTGAAGTTGCATCAGCTGAGTACCACACTATTTTATACAGCAACGCAAATATTCATATGAAGTAGTAACTATCACACCAAAGAGATGTAAGTATCTTGTGTATACACAGCTCTGGAAATCCAGTTTGAACATACCCAGGAAAATATCAGAAGAGACACTGTATCGACAGCCTGCATAAGGCACAGCTTGTGATACATCCGTGGTTTCTGTACCTTTAGTAGTGGTGCCTGAGCTAAAAAATAGACAGATGGCAATTCACATGGAGGAGCTGGGTTCAGCTCCTCATCCTCCAGCGATGGAATGGCTGTCATCTTTTTGATCCCTGCCACTGGTCCCCGCAATGCCAGTGCCACCATCAGCATTATAAGCTCTCCACAGAGCTTCACAGGGACAGCAGCACAGAGCACTCCGTGCACGAGGCCAGCCTCCAGCACGAGGCCAGCCGAGTTCCCAGTGTTCAACTGGGCAGGCTTCCTACCTGACCCTCATCAGTAGCTATTCTGCACAAGAGCAATTTCAGTTATCAATAAAGTTGGTCTTGTGCTTGCATTGTTAGACAGTTAAGATCAGCCTTGTTTTCATCTCCAAAGAGAATATTATAAAGAAACTTCAGATTTATAATTGCTGATGGAAACTATCTAGCTTTGTCTCAAAGAAGGAAACAATCAACTCAATCATTAACCTTACAGCTATAGTCTGATACACTGACACAGAACCACCAAGACTTCAGTATTTAGCTCAGTGCAATGATTTATTTTTCTTTTTAAATACTCTCCCAGCTGAAGAGGTTTGATATCCAAGTTCTGTCAAATGGTTTCACTTCTGGTTTAACTGAATGGGAATCTGCTTCCAACAGCTTCTCATAAACATTTGAGTCCTTCAGGCTGTAAGCACTGAACTGTGAGTTTAAATAGTAGAGTTGAATTATTTTAGCAGTCAGACCTCTATTGTATTTTATTCTTCAAAAGAAAAGCAACAAGCTATTTGCAGACATTTCTATTGTCTTTCCATGTTATTAGAAATCCTGCAAAGTGCAAAAGCGTGATTTAAAAAAAAAAAAATCCTTCAATGGGTATTACTAGCAGAAAGTTCACGTGCATATTCCAAAATATCACAAAGCTTATCTCTGTGTAGCAAACACCAGTCCTATTCTTTTCTGTACTTCCACCAGGTAGGTGGGAGTCTAGTAACATGCACCAAATCACTGTTTTGGGTTGGGGTTTTTTTTGTGGGGTGTTTTTTTTTCCTCTTTTAAAGCCTGAAGTATATCGGCACAGCCTGTAACCAAGGCTTCTCTGTCCATCCTGAAGACATCTCAGTACAATACACAAAATACTTGCTTTGTTTGGTGCTGGATGCTTTTCAATTTAAATTAATGCCCTACAACAGTGGC